GGGGGTGTTAGACATTGATCTACCAATCTTTAGTCCCGAGCAAGCTCTCAAGCCAGTCCCTTTGCTTCGCAAAGCAAACTCAAGGTAGTCCTTACCAGGCTACCTTTCGTGACATGGTGACACATGGCGCATGGTGTCTAATGGTCTTTGCCAAAAACAATTCATCGTTCCAACAGCAGCTTGCGACTGCGTTGATTGCACCACTCGGTCCGTCGCCTGTTCAGCCGCATCTTCAGTAGCATTTCTGCTTTGGGATTGATGACCTCAAGCCACAAGCTGACAACAAAGCAACACTGAGAATGAAGGGAACAAGTCAACAAGCTAACAAGCACTACAAAAAATGATCGTCATCGGATTGGAATTGGAATCACGATAAACACAATGGCATAGTACTCCCATGTACTCCCGCCCTTCCTCACCAAGGTGCCATTTATCTTTACTGGTCTTTCCAATACTGCTGTGCTCTCCTGCAAATGAAATCGTAGCAGAACAATGGCTATTGCCGACTCTGGTCACTATCAGCAACACGCCCTCAACTTTCGTCCTGGTCTCCAGCCTCGACTTTCGACCGACCTCTCAAGTTTGACCTCGTTCGACTGTTCAGCGACTTGTGTAGTACATACACGAGTCTGTGAAGTACTCATTCGCGAGAAGAACAACACCCGAACAAGTCTGCAGATCTCCAAAAGAGATTTGATGCATCACCTTCACACCAAGCAACATGGGCGTCGCAGAAAGACGCAGAGCTTTGTGGCTTGGCACAAAAGCGTCCAAGGCATTAAAACTTCCTGCACCATTCTGCTCACAGATGCTTCCGGAGAGATCAAGCGAGACAAAAAGAGGGGACAGTGACAGACAGTGGCTTGAAAACGAGGCGAAGCATAAGAATGAGCACGTGGAAGGCTCCTTGCTCGCCCATCAGCTTCAACCCCGGGGAACTCCTGCATCGCAGCAAAAGGCAGATTGAACTCGCATAAGCTGACAAAAACTATGTGGAAAGCCTGCACAACCTGTAGCACTCGCAAGATAAAGAAGCATCTGTGTGTGTGTATGATCCTCGGAATCATTGGAAGCAAATTGAACACAAAGGTTGGGTATTGGTTTGATGCCACATGCAGAAACGTGCGGGATAACGACGTTTGTGCTGCACATCGCACACCGGTTGACTTACGCAAAAAAGTGGGTCACTTACGCACCGATGGCCATAACATCACATCGCGGGTCGGTGGGGGGCGGGAAAATGACGTTCCGGCGGAAGTGCGTTGCAGATGCAACAAGGGTCGCGCAGCACGCAGCAGGCAACACCGTGTCATACATTGCATATTGTAGATATACAGCGTTTGTTCATCTTGCAAAGCAGCATTCCAAACCTGATGACGGTCATAGGGTTCTAGTACCAGAATTGTTGCACGTTCCAGAGTCATCGATGTGACTTATCCAATGGAATCCCCATTTGGCTTACAGGATGACAGGGTCGGATGTGGCGATGGTGTTGTGTTCGGTTTTGCTGTTTCGGTTGTGAGGTGTGCTGAAACCCCCACATAGGCATTTGCAGTGTTTGGGAACCCTCTTTCCTTTGAACCCTTTTTCATCCTTTTTCATTGGCTCCTTGTTGGATGACACCCTGAACTTCGTTGTACAAACATGTGTGATTTCCAACAGTTGTTGGGTCGTGATCACTGGTTTCCGAAAAGAAATCAGAGTATTTGACTCACGAAGGAATGCTGAGTTGCAGATGTATAGAGTATATAGCATGTGTTTGTCTTCTGTGGAGTTGTTTGAAGCGAATGTGACATGGAACATGTTTCTATACAAAAGTTATAGGACCGGACGACCCCACATGTTAACAACTTCACCGGACACGCGGAGTGTTGCTGGTTGGTGGGTGACAATTGGTTGGTGGCAGTTGGTTGGTGGCAGTTTGTGGGTGGAAGTTTGTTGGTGGCAATTGGTTGGTGGCAATTGGTTGGTG